ATGAATTATAGGGAAATGAAAAATAAGGTAGGATTTTCGGGAAGTCCAACAGTTTTTATTATCCACTGTACTACTTGTTATCGTAGATAATATCTATTATTATTACCTAATTATTTGTTCTGAACGATAGACAATCAAACGTGTTAGGAGAAAAAAAAAGATACTTAACTGAATGTTGAGTTAAATTATTATTTATAATATACTCCAGTTGAATGTGTCGCACCTCAATTTATATGTTAGTAGTGGGGTAAGTGGCTAGTAAAGATTGTTCACTTCTTTGATAAATAATTTAAAAAAAGAAACAATGAGTAATCTGTACTTAATATCTAAGACAAAACTGACCAATTTCACTAGGAGGAAATTTTGTATATATACATAATATATGTAGATTATTTTAAATTGATAAGAAAAATTGTACTTCGTGTCGGATTGAAATGTAGATACCCACGTGTTACTACCAGCTTCCCCTTTCAATGCAGCGTTGCTACTGTTACCAACTAAATAATATTTGTACCAGTGAAAATGAAAGTGCAATTTTTCTTATTTAGTTTTGCGAGACAAATTCAAGTTGACGTTTTTTTCTACAATACATATTTCTGAAAAACCTGTTGATATTCCTTGAAGAAACGTTAAATATTAAGAAGATTTAAGTATTTAAAATTTGAAAGACATATTGTAAATACGAAAAATATATGGAAAATAATTGCTTTTGAAATTGTTTGGTTTCTTCATTAATTATTATATTATAGCAACGAATTATTTGCGACGCAGGTATTGTTTATAGGGGGCTTGTTGCTATTTATATTATTTGTCATTTTTAAATAGGAAAAGAACACAACTTTAAATTCAGACAATTAATATTACCTACCTATTCAATATTTTTAAACTTTTTGAAAAATAAAATTTTAGTGCTGAATTTGGTTATTCAGAAAAATCAGTTTTGAAGTGAGTACATCACTTGTGATGTTTCTTAACTTTTACAGTTCTTAGTATCAATTTTTTGTTGAAAATTAGGCAATAATAATGTACTTAAAATAATACAGACATTACAACCGATGCGAATGTTTGTTTTTCCTTGTTTCTTGATAGGTTAATCAATTTTTCAGATTTCACTGGCTCAATGACGCCGATTCCAATTGTTTATTAGAAATAGAAGTACGGTTATATTTTTTATTCAATCAGGTTTTCAGCTTGCACGATCTTAATGAGTTTCTTTTTCTTTTTGTTTCATTTTCGATATGGCACTTGGCACAATTTTCTAACGCTACGCTTTGCTATTGCGCACACTACCCATACAAACAAATAAAATATTAAAATTCAAAAAAAAAAAACAATAAACAAAAATGAAAGCGGGAGAAGTTGCACCCAGTCCTGGTAAAATTTGGCGAGCTGGTTCGACTGACTTGTTCGCTTAATGCCATTAATTGCAAATTCGTCTTTTGTAAGTAATAGTGTGATGGAGGTTTGAACGTGTAGTAACTTTTTTGTGAGTTTTGCCTAACACGACACTTTGCAAGTGAATTGAAGCATTGCAATGTTTTCTTTGGAGCTGTTCTAATACGAAACTGTTTTCCATAATTGTATCCTATCCAAATGGTAATATTCAGTCGTATCGATGACTGTACGATATTAAAATTAAAAAAAAAATACAACGTGTAATTATACAACACGCTACTGAAGTGAAACTTCTTCAAACACACAAACATACCGGGATAGTGGTTAAGGAATTGGTTTAATGGTATTATTTGTACATTATGAATGCCGGAGTTATCTGTAACGAACGTTGCATTGAAGCGCGCTCACGGCTCAAGCGATCTTCACTACGAACTCGACTACGTGGCCGAGTAGAGGGGGGACATCTGGTTTCCATGCATGATTTAGACAAATGTAGGGCAGTAATATTCCACAGATAATCTTTCATTCTCTTGTGTCTTCATTTCGTCCGTCTCATCTTTCTCACCCGAACGAACCACCACCCACCCATTCCCACGATTCCTGAAAGCAGGCTGAAGAGGGCCTTCCGCCCTACCTTCCGGCGTAGTCCGGAGGGACTGCCCGCCAACCAGCATTACTGGCTGGTGGGAATGAAACACTCAAAAGTTTTTTATATATTGAAAAGAACGCGTCAGTTTACAAGAACCACCCTACAATTCTGACCTAGCTNTATAAAAATTTGAGAACTTACCCTTCCCCCAATACATAAATTGACGTTTTAGCGAACGAAATAGTAGAAATCGTGTGCTTGTGCACTACAGCAACACTATTAAAACTTAGTTATTGTGTTTTTCTATTTTTCTTTCTATTTTGAGTTGTAGAACACTTTTTATCAAAACCATAACTAAAGGCTGTTGTCGAACATGATAAAAATATCTGTTCATATAATATTTTAATGAACTAATGAAAATTGGCTAAGCCACACACTGCCTGCATTGCAATTGCATAAAACAATTATCAAAAGTTGATGGCCGTAATACTGCCGGAAACTATATATGTATAAGGCAATTTTTCCGATCTGTGATCGTTAGTTTGATAAAGAATGAGAGCAGAAGACAATTCCAGCGATGATTTATTAGGGGAACGTTTTCGAGGCTTAGACTTAACGTCGCCAGCTTTTATACCATTGTAATACCTTCTGCGCTCTAAATTTTCGTTGATAAATTGCATCGTCATGATTTCTTTAGTTCTCGTTCTTATTTCACAATGTTTCAGCAGTCAAAATGTAGGTTTCATTATAATTAAATCCTAGCTTATCTCAGAACGTTAAAAACTACTTGTTCTGCTGAAAACTGCCAATAATTTTAGTCTATATTGGGGTAGTAAATCATTATTCAAATAGTGTTATATTAGACTTTTATTTTGAACTGATTAAATTGATAATATAAATTAGCAATTAAACTCTGGAACTGTTTTTTTTTCAAGGATATCCGTGATATTGTATTAAATAGTTGATTTACCTTTACTTGGGGTATAGTTAGGGTTGCCACCTTTTCAGGCTTTACATAAAGTATTTCTCGACTAAAAGGTTAAAAAAAAGTACTTAGCATAAAAATAATGTATTTTATTTTTTGTTTTTAAAAACATATTTTTTGTTACACCTAGCAGCTAGTAACAAATTGCTGTCGCTCTTAAATACATTAATAGCCTCTAAACATGGCAAACAAAGATTTAAGTAAACTAAAAGTTCATTTTTAATTAGTTTTAATGAAGCTTTATTCCTGTCGTCCCGC